TTATTCTATATTGTATGTTTATATGAGTGAGTATATACCATGTGTGTCTTTTTGCTTCTGGGACAACTCACTCAGGATGATCCTTTCCAGGTCCCACCATTTACCTGCAAATTTCATGATTTCCTTATTTTTCATTGCTGAGTAATACTCCATTGTATAGATGTACCACAGTTTCTGCATCCATTCTTTAGTTGAGGGGCATCTGGGTTGTTTCCAGCTTCTGGCTATTACAAATAAAGCTGCTACAAACATGGTCAGTTATAAAAACTGCATGGTACTGGCATAGAAACAGAATGGTGGATCAATGGAATCGAACAGAAGACCCAGAAATAAACCCACACACTTACGGACACCTGATTTTTGACAAAGATGCCAAAACCGTACAATGGAAAAAAGATAGCATCTTCAACAAATGGTGCTGGTCCAACTGGATGTCTACATGTAGAAAAATGAAAATAGATCCATACTTATCACCCTGCACAAAACTGAAGTCCAAGTGGATCAAAGTCCTCAACATAAAACCAGACACATTAAATCGGCTAGAAAAAAAAGTGGGGAATACCCTAGAACTCATTGGTACAGGAGAAAACTTCCTGAACAGAACACCAACAGCATAGGCTCTAAGAGCCACAATCAATAAATGGGACCTCATGAAATTGAAAAGCTTCTGTAAAGCAAAGGACACCGTCATCAAAACAAAGCGACTGCCTACAGATTGGGAAAGAATCATCACCAACCCTTTATCTGACAGAGGACTCATATCCAGTATATATAAAGAACTAAACAAGCTGAAAAGCAATAAACCAAGTAATCCACTTAAAAAATGGGGAACAGAGCTAAAGAGAGAATTCTCTGTATAGGAATATCAAATGGCAGAGAAGCACTTAAAGAAATGCTCAACCTCATTAGCCATTAGGGAAATGCAAATCAAAACAACCCTGAGATTTCACCTTACACCCATCAGAATGGCCAAGATGAAAAACTCAAGGGACAACACATGCTGGAGAGGTTGTGGAGAAAGGGGAACCCTTCTCCACTGCTGGTGGGAATGTAAACTGGTACAACCACTCTGGAAATCAATCTGGCGCTTTCTCAGACAACTAGGAATAGCACTTCCTCAAGATCCAGCCATACCACTCCTAGGCATATACCCAAAAGAGGCGCAAGTACACAAATAGAGGCTTGTTTTAAGGTATATGAAACAATGAATTGGAAGGAATTAATTGTGAGTTATGTTTAAAAACAAACAAATGAACAGGCAGAGTTCTGTGGGATTGTGTGGGAAAAGTTGAGTTTTCCCTGGATTTGACTTGAATGAGATCTTGTTTTACTCTTTGCCTCGGGAAGCTGGAGTCCTAAGTGGCGCATCTTTAGTGACTAAATCATTGCAGGTGGCAAGTTTGTGAGGATGAGGGGACAGTGTTGTCAGCTGAGAGGCCAACCTGAATGGAGCTGTGAGGGACAGTCTGCACTTTGTTATTTGTGGGTGACAGCCTGTAGTCTGTTCTGATTAAAACTCTGCAAGAGGTACAGGTCGGTAGGTGAGGCAGGGCCGTGTTGTGGATGTGTAGGGTAAGTGGGAATGGGAGGACGGTGGAGGGAGGCTGTTGGAATGGGTTCCGGTTCTGTTTCTTGTGAGGCTCTTCTGGTAATTGCCATGTGCACATTGTGCGTTGCACAGGAAGAGTGCCCTCTGACCTATAGAATGTAGACAAAGGAAGAAGTCAGAGCTGATTTCAGAATCCTTACTCTGGGTCAGTGGCTTAATCTTTTGACTAAAAGGGGTTTTTGGAAAAGAAGCTGGCGAAGTTGTGCTGAACTCAGCAGTAGTTTTGCGAATTGGCTACATCTTCAGTTGTCTATGATTGTTGGTATGTTGCTGTGAAGACATGTGTGCTCCTGGGTGAAAAGCATGGGCTAGTTCCGCAGCCTTTAAGAGCAGCGTAAGAAGAAACAGAAAACCCTACAAGACTTGATTATCCAACATGCCATTTCCAACTTGCCTTTGTATTGCATTTATTTAAATTTCATTAAAAAGAGGAAAAACTATGTTGAAGAGCTGTAATTTCTTTTTGTACCTTTTATTATGTATTAGTAATTAACTCTAGTTCTTCTTGCAGGTTGATGAATTTGAACTTGATCAATTATCTGATAGTAATTACAAGCACAGAGTGATTGTCGTTGCCAAAATGACATTCTTACTTCATCTCCGTGTACTTCTAGCACTTTTCATAAATGCTTGCGTTTGTTTGACTGCAGAATATGACTTGCTCTTTTGACTTCTGTCACCGAGGTCAAACTACTTAAATTGAATAGTGATCAACAAAACCTTGGGGTTAAAAACCCTCAGGACCTGCTTTCTGGGAGCAGGAGGGAGTCGGGTTCAGTCTTTTCCCTGTTGGAGACTCGAGAGTTCTGATCTTGCTTCTGGGCTGTTTGCTTTTTCTCATTCTTGGTGGGGTTGCACTATCCTTCGTCCTCCTTCGGGCAGGAATTCTCTGCTGCTGGGCTGGATGTCCACTATTCTGGATAAACGCGTGTAGGCTTTGGGCTCGTTCTGCCCTCCTGACTCTAGAGAGACCAAGAGAGAAGGGGCGTCAGTCATTGGGCTCAGAGTCTCACAGCATAGGACAATATGGTATGTGATTTACACACAGCAGTAATTTCCCCCACATGCCTGGGAGTTAAAACTCCAGAATAAAGTGGTTGGCATGGTTTGTTTCTTCTCAGGGTTTTCCTCTTACCTGTAAGTGCCTGGTGTGTGTGTGTGTGTGTGTGTGTGTGTGTGTGTGTGTGTGTTCATCTCCATGTGATCTGCTATTTGTCACTGTCTGTTTTAAAATACCTTTCTTCTAAGGGGATTAGCCACGTTGGAATTGGGCCACTTGGTGGACTGATTTTAAATTAGTACCTCTTTTAAAGACCCTCTGTCTAAACTGGAGAGACGGCTTTGTGGTTAAGAGCACTGTCCCAGAGGACCTGGTTTGATTCCTAGAGCGCACACGGCAGCTCAGCTGTAAGCAGTCACGGGGTGAGGGACTTTTGATCTCTTAGGGGATTGCATGCACACGGTGTATGCATATAGATATAGGTGAAATACCCATACCCATAAAAAATAAATTAAAACATTTTATTTTTTAAAAATAAATTAAAAAAATAATTAAACAGGAGCTAGAAGTTTAACATGTAAACATTTGTGTTTTAAAATTTGCTTTGTAACCTGTAACACCCCCCTCCCACTTCTCCCATGCACATGCTATTTGAGAACCTTAGAAAATGAATAAGGAAAACCGAGGTATAGTTCTTGACTAGCACAGCACTTGGCTAGCATGCTTGAAGGCTTAGGTTCATTCCTCAGTATCTTCAGGAAGAAAAAGAGAAAGAAGAAAAGCAAACTGTTTGTGTGTGGGAGTGATGGCTCAGTGTGAATAAAATGCCTGTTGTCCAGGCCTGAGGACCTGAGTTCAGAGTCTGCACCTGATCCTGCATAGATGCCGATTGTGATGGTATGTGCCTACCGCTACAGTGCTGTGGTACAGATGGTTGGATTCCCCTTCCTGGCCAGCTAGTCGTCCAGGATGGTGAGCTGTAGGTTCAGAGAGAGATGTACTTCAGAAGATACTGAGGTAGAGAATCAGTTGAGGCCAAGACAGCTTCATGTCGGCCTTTAGCTTTCTTGCATGCTTTCATGCACACAAACTGAAAAAAGAGGAATAAATGGCGAAAGGAGGAAAATATTGATGTTGACTATGAATAGAGAACGTTTGTGTGTGGTGTGTGCTGTGATTTATAGAACAGGTGCTTACATCATCATCTTCCCAGCATAACATAGGCAATGCTGCCTTTGTTCCCAGACACAGCACCCAGAAGCCAGAAGTTTCCTGACGTTTCTGTGTCTGGGTAGATCTGAACACAGACTTTTAGACACTGCATTAATCTTCCTGCCACTGCATGTAGTGTAGGGAGGGTGAGAGAGTGGGTCCTGTGGGCCTTTGTTAATTGGGTTTTTATGTTCTGGAGAGCGGGGGATTAGAGACATTTCCTTGGCAGTCAGTGTGTTCTTAGCTTTAACATTTGCAGTGCAGAAACCAAACACACAGAAAGCTGTGACTCCCTGAAAGCAAAGCCACATTTTTGTTGAGTCTTACTTTTGAGGGGGCATTTCAAGCTAAGAAGTAGTAGACTGTATAGTGAGCTCCCAGTTCTTAAGTCCTGGCTCAGTAGGTGAGTTTGGGGGTACCTCATCTACCCCTTTCTTCCTCTCAAAGCAACTTGCACACAAGGTACCTACACATTTTGAGGTGTGCCACTTTAAAGCATGGACGTTTTGTTACCTAACCTAACTCCCCATTGTAGCTTCCCAGTCTCTTCTGAGTGTTTCTGAACAGTTGGTTCATGCTGTGAGAAGCCACATCATGACATTTGCTCTACACGTGCTCAATACGTGAAGCTATGTTTGAGAGTAACTTTTCTCTTGCCTTTGTCTCTTGCACCCAAGGACACATGGTTTTCAGGTTTCCACAGAGAGGGAATACATTAAGTTGAGCTGTTTATTAATTTTGATGGAGTATCTGGCAACTCTTTTAAAAACAGATTCAGTTCATGGTCTTCAAGAGTCATCTAAACACTTTCTTCCTATGTGCTAATCCCCACATTGATGAAAGGGCTGAAACTTCCCAAGAAGAATGTAAGCAAGTAAATAGGCAAAGCCGTGCAGGTGCACCTGGGAAACCTGCCTCGGGCTGCATTGCTGGGCAGCCTTCATACTTTTGATTCGTGTTGACTTCGGGTGTTCTCACCCACATGGAATAATGCATTGTCAGAGCTCACGGATACAAAGCCACTACACCACTTGAAGAACACTTGGCTTTGTCAAATGTCTAATAGTCTACAGGAATGCTGCTATTGTGACTTACCAGAGATTTTTGAATGCAACTGTTTGACAAGCTTTTAAAATACAGTGGTCTTGTGATCTGCTAATACTTTGTCTCTCTCAATAGGTATAAATGACCAAGGATTGTACAGAGTTGTGGGGGTGAGTTCAAAGGTCCAGAGACTTCTGAGTATGTTGATGGGTATGCCTCTTTAATCATTTTTCCATGCATTAATTGTTTATGCTCATTGACTTTGCGACTTAGTATTTCAGAGTTATATAGTGTGTGCCCAGGAATACATTCTTCTTTTGTACCACCTACTTGGATGGGTTGTGTCCTCAGAGGCCGAGTGTCTGCATCAGCTGAGATTACCCACGTCCCTGTTAGTTATTGATGAGCAGTGAGGGCAGAAGAGTGAGTGCTGTCCCAGGTGTACGCCTCTTGCCATTGCCTCTTAGGGCAGTGGTGGTCAGGCCCCTGAGATCCTCCCGGTTTCCACACTGCCTGTCCAGGGCCTTCACAGTACATCTGGTTAGACAAGACCCCTGGGACTCGCTCATTTTTACAGCTTCCCCAACTGTCATTTGTCAGGGAGGGCCTGTGTCTTGGGGATTGGTTTGTTGCAGTTCTCACCAGGCTCCTCTCCAGAACCAGGCTCCATCTGTGCTGATAACTCAGTGTTCTTTGGCATCACAGGCTGGAGGAAGCCAGGAGCGAATTCGTTTCATTGCCCCAGACACTCCGTGAATGACACAGCGCTTTTGTATTACATGCCGCTGCCAGTGCGGTGCCACCTGTAAGACGCTCCACATCTCCCCCTACCTGCAGCAGGCTGCCCTTGGGGGACGATCATAGCTCCTCAGCCTGGAGGACCTGGCTATCAAACCAGTCTGTCATTTTGGCCTTTCTACATGAGAATTTACTTGGTGTCCCACTCTAATTAGTCAACACTAACGATGCCCTCAGGGATGTGGGAATTCACTTAAATGTGTCTGGCTTGAAAGCTTATTTCTGAAAGTATAAATTGAGATGAGCAAAGCCAAAATGACACATTGTGGATAATGCTGCTTGCTGAGCTGTGTGCGAATCCAGGGTTTCATAAGCAAGCACTTTTCAAGCTACAAAGCACAGGAAAAGTTGCCCATCATCGGTTGGAGAGCTTTGCTGAACGTATTCACCTTCATGGGCTGTTTCCATTTTCTGCCTCTCTGGTTTAACTTGGATGTGCAGCCCTGGCAGACACATTTTCCTTTTTGCCGTCAGTGAGCTCCAGATGAAATAGTCAGGTTGCCAGTGGTCCAGTAGCAGCATCTGCTGTAGCGGATGCGAGTACAGCATCTGCTTCTACTCAGTTTTAAAATTGGAAACACTGAGTTGTTGTTACAGCACTTAGGAGTGAGAGATGATGTTGTTATCAGAATACCTTTAAGCCAAAATGCACATGTTGGTGGTAAGTTAGCCAGAAGGATCCTGGCCTTATTTTGATCACTACTTTGTTCATACTCAAGAAACCTTTGGACAAGGTTATTGCTCTGGTCATGCCAAAGTGTTAAATTGTCTTGAAATTGGTTCTTAATCTCGCAGAATTTTAAATGTACAGTGTTGTTTAACTCTGACAGTAGTTTCTCTGCTCTTGGGGAAAACCACATGACAACTTTTTAAGTCACAAAGTATTCTAAAGCTCTCAAAAGTTCGAGAGCTGGAGGGGTCTGGGAGATGGCTTGGTGTGTGAAGTATTTGCCATCCAAGTGTGAAGACCTGAGCCTGGTTTCCGTTGTCTACAGAGAAGTTTCATGGGATGGCACACTTGTAACTCTGATACTGGCTTGGGGGAGAGACAGGAATGTCTGAGGGTCTTGCTGGCCAGCCAGCCCTACCTGAACAGTGAGCTTGAGGTTCATTTTGTGAGTGTATGTGTCTATGTAAACAATAGATAGAGACACTCAGTCTCAGCCTCTGCCCCTGTATGTGCATGCTTGGATAAGTTCATCTGCATGCACATGTCTGAGCACAGGCATACACAGAAACACGTGTACCAGTGTAGACACCTAGAAAAATGTCTTTTGTTCCTGTCAGAGAAGTCCAGTTGTGCTGCAGCTTCACTCAGTTGCTGGCAGGGAAAACAGTGTGTTTTCAGAAACATCGTGCAAACAGAGGAAGTTAGAGAATTGGCACAAAGGTATTAACTTGTTTCCCCTCATTTAAGAGGGCTGTGCAATGAGGATTTGTTTGTATTAATCTGTGGGTAATTAGTAATATGAGTCAGATTGCCCATCAGAAGTGTAGCAGAGATACCATTCTTTGTTAGTTTGTAATTAACATTAACCTTAGTTTTTGACAAATTGATGTCATCACTGTTTCCTGAAGAATTTTACAGTTTTCTTAAGGTATTCTTTTCATCCTGATTAGGTATTCAAAATTAATAATTTAATACCATTAAAAAAGTATTTTAGAGTTCCAATAACCATGTGTCCACATTCCACAGATGTCCTCACTGATTTTGCTGTTTACATTGTGTTAAAGTTGTAGCCTAAAGGGAGGCAGGTGGTAAGCCTGCCAAATGCCTAATTGTTTTTTTCTTTATCCTGGCTGTATCCCCCTCCCTCGTCCCCTCCCAAACCTGCCGTCCCTCCTCCCATGCTCCTCCCCCTGTCCACTGATAGGGGAGGTCCTCCTCCCTTTCCATCTGACCTTAGCCTATCAGGACTCATCAGGACTGGCTGCATTGTCTTCCTCTATGGCCTGGTAAGGCTGCCCCCCCCCTCTTAGAGGGAGGTGATCAAAGAGCTAGCCCATGAGTTCATGTCAGAGACAGCCCCTGTTCCCATTACTAGGGCACCCACTTAGAGACTGAGCTGCCATGGGCTACATCTATGCAGGGGTTCTAGGTTATCTCCATGCATGGTCCTTGGTTGGAGTATTAGTTTCAGGAAAGACCCTTGTGCCTAGATTTTTTAGTTCTGTTGCTCTCCTTGTGGAGTTCTTGTCCCCTCCAGGTTTTTCTATCTTCCCCTTCTTTCATAAGATTCCCTGTACTCTGCCCAAAGCTTGGCTATGAGTCTCAGCATCTGTTTTACTACCCTGCTGGTTAGAGCCTTTCAGAGGCCCTCTGTGGTAGCTTCTGTCCTGTTCCCTTTTTTCTCCCTCCGCTGATGGCCTAATTTCTTTTTAAGGCCAACCAATGTCTTCTAGGATTCTTGGAAATAATATGTTCACTTCAAATTTGAAAAAATTTCAGAGCACATTTTATTGATCTTGGAATTTTCTTCAGAAAAATAAAAACTAATTGAATTTTTAAGCGTCTTGGAAAAAAACATTTTATGTTTTTAGAAGAGGATTGCACTTACTTGAGACCTGTTTAGATTTTTTTTTTTTTTTTAGAAAAAAAAATGATTGCCATTTTTACATGGAATTTTATCTCTTCAGTTTTGAATGCCTTGAGTATTCTTCAAACACTCAGATGTGAACGTTTGTGGTTATTTTCAAGGCTGAATATATGCTTCTTCTCTTCAATGTTATCCTCGCTTCTCTTTCTGTGATGTTTCTCCCTTTCCTGTTTAAAATAGAAAAAAGATGTTCCTCCCCACTCTTCTTCCTCTCCTGACTTTTTTCCTGCTATCTCCTCAGCATCTTCCCATGCCTTCAGCATGCTCTGTCCCCTTCCTCTTCTGCAGACAGGAGATGTCAGGTACAGGAGAAGGCCACTGCTTCCCTCCTGGGGATAAGTGCTGCTTTTGCCTTAGTTGTCCCTTGCCTGGGGATCAGCAGGTGGTGTCCTCTGTTTCCAGCTCCCCCTGAGCCTTGCCTGGCCCCTGCTAAGTGACTGCTCTCCCACTGTGGAGAGACCTCTTTCCTTCTCTGCCCCTCTGCTGTCTGTAGGTCAGGGGAGAAGGTGTTTTTTCTTTTTCTTTTCCTTCTTTCTTCTTTCTGAATATTATAAACATAGAGCTGATGAGAAAGGCAAGGAAAAAATAACAGATGGATAGTCAGTTTTAATTCTTACTGAGATAAGAATGTAAAGATGAGTTACCACAGTTAGGGGCAGATTAGAACTGGTGAGTTAAAAGTGCCTGATAGTCCTTTTTCTTCCCACATTAGAATGAAACCAGAGCAGGGCAGGGGAAATCTTGAGAAAATGTGCTCATAGCATATGTGGTCTGGTGCTTTGCTATTTATAAGCAAAAGACTGGGTGTTTTTTATTTTCTTTTAGACACAGCACCATAGAAAACAAAAGTAGCAGGATCTTAATATAAAATATTTTCTCATTTATTTTTATTGAATACTTTTTTTTTAACGTCGAGTGGAGGAGAGTGAGCACTGTAGCTATAAACTTGATTTTTGGTGATAAAGCATATTTATAAAACACACGTACATTTTGCTTCTTCAAGTATTCAAAGAAGGAAAAGAACTGGCCCAAGTTCGTGTTGGCTAGGGTGCTAACTCCTCATAAGTGACACTCTGCCGTGAGCCTGGGTGCACACTTCCAGCTTCAAAAAAGTGACCAGTGGGTATGCCGTGAGCGTGGGCATACACCTCCCGGTTGAAAGAAATGAGCAGTGGCTGTATAAGAGGGAAACCTTCATACAGTATTAAAGTGCCAGTTTCAGTGCTGGTTGGCTTAGAGTTTTAACTAATGAGTTACGCTGTTCTTTGGTTAGGGAGGAAACATGAGGCCCCTCACTTGTGGTGGAACACATATCCTGTGTGAACACTCTAAACATAGTTTAGGTGTGAAGCCTAAATAAATGAATTCCACCTAGTCCACGGATTGCAAAGGGCTGCCAGGGATGATTGAGCTATTTGAAAACAGAGAACATTTAATAGATGATTAATTACACAGACATATAGTCATTAACTTGTGATGTGACAGCTGCCTTTGTTCTGTGAATTTAGAAGGATGGCTTATTTTTCCATAGAAAGAATATGAATCTCAAAATTGAGAATGAGAATTTGGTAGAATGTGGAAATGGAAGAGTTCCTTTTGAAGCCCCTCAGATTTTTAAAATGGTGATTTGCTTGTAGCGAGTTTATTGAAAATGTTATCTGACTTGTATGTTAAAATGAGATTTAAATAATTGATTTAATGAGAGACAGAATATTCAGTTACAGAAGTAATTGGTTGGCGAAGCTGTTAGAACAGAATTATTTAGTCCTGGTTATAAAGGATCGCATCTTTAATCAGGGTGCTTAATTTGATTTCTCCAGTGTATCTGTGGCTTGTCTGACAGGCTCAGTAACAAATGAGTTCTGAATCGTAGGGACTGATCAAAATGTAATCAGTGTCAGTTGCCATTGTTGTGGTTTATTGCATATTGCTGCCAGTTGCTGTAATCAAGAAATGCTGGAGTGCCTAAAAAGTCTCCAGACCTTTGAGTAATGGACTTCATATGTGTGATGTTGCGGCTGTAAAATAGCCATCACTTTCTGTTTTATTTTCAGAAAGTTTGAGTCCCTTTGTTGTCATGCCCATGCCTAAAGCTTTTCAGGGTTCACAGCTAGTATGGCCAGTTTGACAGCCGTTCCTTTTCATGCTTTTAAAGAGGAAGTATATTTTTCCTAGCAGAGAGGGGGAAGTCTGGACACACTAGCTCTTTGTTTTTAGTTGAGGCAGGCAGATGTGTAGTGATGGCTAGAAACCACCCTTCTCTATAACCTCCTTTCTGCCTTCTCTTGGGGAGGATACCACCGCAGAACGAACGTCCTTGCCTTTAATGACCTGGCTGTGGTGGGGAGCTTCCACTGTTAATAATTCCTGTCAGTCTCCCATGCCTTGGTTGTTAGGGTGCTCACACCTGTTTATAGGGGTGTTTACTATGCTGAGATCTCCTTGGTGCAGACGAGGATCTGGAACTCAGGTGCATTGAGTACTCCCTCGCTTGGATTATAGTGCTCCAGGCTAGTCCAGCATTAAAACTCAGCTTTTGAATACTGAGACTGCTGGCCATGCTGGGTATGCTGGCCCGGATGGACAAGGATGGCCCTGTGCTAGAATGTTTGCCTTTACCACTCTTCTGTCATTTTATTTCAGCCTGGATTAACACTTTAAGCTTCCCCATCTTTTTTTTCCCCTGTATGTACTTAGACACTCCCCCCCCCCCCCCTTCTTATTGTCCTTCTTTCTTTCTATTTTTAGACAGGGTTTTCCTATGTAGCCCCTGGCTGTCCTGGAACTTGGTTGGTAGACCACACTAGCCTTGAACTTGCCTAAATCTACCTGCCTCTGTCTTCCAAGTACTGGAATTAAAGGCAGTGACCTACTAGTGCCCGGCAACACACTGGCTACACACTTTTCTTTAGAGCACTACCTATTTCTAAAAAAGCGCATCTGGAGCAAAATATCAGTAACACAGTTTTAGGACAAAGAAAAACTACTTTAGTTGAGAATGAATGGCCCAGGCAGGTCATTTTTCTGGGTGGGTGAGTAGCTAGTAGTGCTGGGGTGAAGGTTTATCCTTTCACTTAGGTAGATTTGTTTTAACTTTATATTTTAATTGCAGCTGTTTTTTCCAGTACAAAGAATTAAAAATTATACATGTTAATGTAGTAACATGGTACATTGACAGATTCACGTTGTAGGTTGTTAAAATTAGACTAAGCCATAAATAGCATCCTGACTCTCTTGTCCTGTTTCAGTTTGGGTTGATCTCCTGTTAACCTTCGGAAAGCTACTGTAATGAGTGCAAACGTTGGACTGTGAGACCAGACTGTTTACTGACCTGCTGCCATTTTAATCATCATTTTGCCCTAATGGTGCTAGTGTTCCTCGTGTAGTAACACAGTGGATAGCGAGAGTGCGGGTGGCGACCAGCCGCATCCATTCAGCGCTGCGTGCCACGGTGCTGCCGAGTGGCACCTTTGAGGACGATGCGACATTCATTCCCCATGAGCCGGCTTGTTGAAATGCCGTATCTTCTCTCGTGCTTCTGCTCTCTTTGTCTACAACTTACTTAAATCCTTTGCTCTTCTCTCTCCTGCAGACTTTCTGAAGTACTAGGAAGGTTGTTTAGGAGTAGAGTGAGCTTATGCTGTTATTAAAAGATTGTATAGAATGTGTTTCTTGAGAAATGTCAGCATTAGTTATCTGTTGTTTGGTCAATTAAAATTGGAAGTTTTGTGAGCTAGTCAGATCTTTGGATGGCAGATTTTTAACTAATTTTTTTCCCTTGCTTGTTCACCAGATGTGAAAACCTGCAGTGAGCTGGACCTGGAGAATTCTGTAGATTGGGAAGTGAAGACAGTAACAAGTGCTTTGAAACAGTATCTGAGGTGAGCGCTTATCACAGACCAGACAGACACCTGCTCCACAGAAATGGCAGTAGTTGTGTTGACACTGACGGACAAAGAGAATATCTCCGAGATACCCAGTGCATTACATTACTGTGTTCCACAGAACGAGGTCAGTCACTGAGCTATTGCCCTGAGGAGACAGCGGAGCCAAGGCAACTTATAAAGGAAGGCATTTAATGGAGGGCTTGCTCACAGTTTCATAGTTAGTCAGTCCACGATCATTATGATGGGAAGTGTGCTGGCAGGCAGGCATGGCACTGAAGACAGTAGCTGAGAGCTCACCTCTCATCCATAGTTGCAGACTTTTGAACTTTCAGAATCCACCCCCAGTGACATACTTTCTCCAACAAGTCCATACCTCTTAATCCTTCCCAAACAGTTCTGTTAACTGGGAACCAAACATTCAAATGTAGGAGCCTGTGGGGGTCATTTGCGTTCAGACCACTACAAGCATCCCCTTTGAGTAAACTGCAGCAGAGGAGCCGTGGATCTGGAAGTATATGCACTCTGTACACTCTGTAGCAACAGGGAGGAAGCCTATTGGTTGAATATTTTGGATGTTCTGCTTATGTTTTATACTAAAAGGAAGACTGCTTTAATTTAACTATTTTGAACAGAAAAGTGTATGATAAGACAAAAGTATTTGAGAAGTTTACTTGTGGGTTTTAGGGAAAATTAAGGATTTATTTTTATTTATTATTTATATGGTATTCTGCCTGCAGGCCAGAAGTGAGCACCAGATCTCATAAATAGTTATGAGCCACCATGTGTTTGCTGGGAATTGAAACTAGGACCTCTGGAAGAGCAGCCAGTGTTCTTAACCTCCGAGCCATCTCTCCAGCCCTAGGAAAATTTGAGAAAATAACAGAGGAATGGAATTAGAAAAGCATTCCACCCTCTGTTTCATTTCTCCAATAAAGGAGCTTCCTTGTTGAGAAGCTTACGGTTTTCTGAAGAGCAGCAATAGGGAGTGGCAGCTACAGCTGGAATTCTATGCCATGGCTTTTTGAGGTTTGTTTCTGTGGAAGAGTGAGAAGTGGCCATGCTTGGCCAGCGCAGGACAAATGCAGGGTGCTGGTACAATCGTAGGATGGTTCTCATGTAAAATTACATTGGCTTCCATGAGCACATGAGAATCTAACCATGCTTTACTTTGTATTTTGTAAAATTATGAGACATAGAGAGGGGAATATGATGAGTCCTCAGGGTCACTGTGGTGCAGGCGGCCTCACCCCACCATCTTCATTTCAGCCTGTGCTCTGCCACTCTTTTTCTTGATACTAAAAGGGTGTCTGCAGATAAATTACCGTACTAATAACTGTTTAAACGAATAACATATTTAAAACAGAGAGAGACTTTTAAAAAGGGTAGCCAGTTCTGTACATTTTCTGTGGCCTTTTGTACCCTCACAGTGTCTGACAGCAGGTTTCTATAACCTTTGTATTTCCTGAAAAATGGTTAAACCTGTAGTTATTTAATTTATTAAGTGACCGTCAGGGGTCAGGGTGGTGCTACTTTCTTCCTGTTATCTAAAGTCAGTCAACCTCTCGACACTGCCTGTTTGTCCTACTTATTGTGTACATTGTTACACAATAATTAGTTGTTACAGGAGCAAAGACAAAAGCCAAACATACATCCTTAGTATCTAGATTGCCGTCAGTAGTGATGCTCGAGCCACTCCCAGCACAGTGACTGTGGTCCAGATGAGGATTAGAATGAATGAGCCCTACTGTAGGGTTAGAATATAAATTCCCTGCGTTCTGTTCATTGTAGAGCCCTATTCAACTAGGGGCAGGTGGCTGTGTAGAGGACATTTGATGATATCTGTAGACTTTTTTGAGATTTATTTATTTTTATGTTATGTGTGTAGATGCTTTACCTGCATGTATGCCTTTGTACATACGATGTATGTGCATCGTCTGTGGGAGCCAGCCGAGGGCATTAGTTGCCTTTGGAGCGGGAGTTGAAGGACTCTTAACTGTCGTGGGGGGCATGGGAACTGCTCCTGGGTGCTGTGGAAGACCAGTTCGTAATCTCAGCTTGTGAGCATCTGCAGTCCTGCACCCTTCTTTTTTCTTGTCACGGTGTATCACTGACATGTGGTGGGTAGAAGCTGGGATGAGGCTGCTCATCCTCTGCAGAGCACGCTGCGCTCCTCTCTTCCTCCTTCCGTAAAGAATTACCTGACCCCGAAAGTCAGCAGTGCCGAAGCGGAGAACGCCTAGGTGGGCACCGGAAAGGGTGGTGGATAAAAGTAGAAAGGATTGTTTGCGCTCCACTCTGGCAGGTGGCCCTGGGTCCATTGACTGTCTGGGACGTCCTACCCAGGGCAGATAGATGACGGTTATTGATGGAAAACTTGAGAGTAAACATTGAACTCTTGGTAGTAAATTGTGCTTTCTGCTTCTTGCTTCACGGAGTTCTCTTCTTTCCCTGTGTGGGAGTTAGCTTGTTAGACTAGGGCCTCCTTACACACACGCACACATTGCTTTTGGATCGTGGTGTTTCTGAAGCTAGTTCCTTTTCAATGCTGGTCTTGTGTTGCATTATTTTCGCCCTTTTTGCATCACATTGCTTTATTCCTCTGAATTCCACTTTAAATCAACTATCGCATACAGAAAAAACATTATGAGACACTATTATTGTTTAACTTGGTCCAAAATCCATGCATTCTGCCCATATTGAGCAGTTTTCCTAATATGGCAGAAGTGTTGAGAGCTGTGTGTTGCGTCCTGTGCTGCTGTGCGTAGCAACACTGTAGGTGCATCAGTTAGGATTTAGGTGATCTTTCCCTCCCTTCCTTCCTTCCTTCCTTCCTTCCTTCCTTCCTTCCTTCCTTCCTTCCTCCCTCCCTCCCTCCCTCCCTCCCTCCCTCCCTCCCTCCCTCCTTCCTTCCTTCCTTCTCTTCTTTCTCCTCTTCCTCCTCCTTTTTTTCATGCTTGTTTGTTTGTTTTCTGAGATAGGGTTTCTCTGTGTAGCCCTGGCTGTCCTGGACTCATTTTGTAGAGCAGGCTGGCCCTGAATTCACAGAGATCCACCCATCTCTGCCTCCTGAATACTAGGGCCACCTTTTTTCTGATTTTTGTTGTTGGGAGAAATCTTGAGACTTTATGTACCTCCATGTTTTCTACAGAGTTCTGGCTGAAGCAAGTGTATTCTGTGGCCCGAGAGATGTGCTGTGTGATGGGGACACGCTATGGACGTGAGGCCTGGAGCCACCTGGCTGGCTAGAGTCGAAATCCCAGCCCTGTCATTTACAACACCAGGACATAGCACTGAAATACAATTTTTTTTTCCTCTTAACCTTTTGCCTGTTCATACTCCAAATTGCCTGCCACTGTATTGGATGCAAAACTGGAGGCTGGGGAAGGAAATAGTCAAAGCTCGAGGCAGAATCAGAAAGCAGGGAAGCAGCCTGCCTGTGTCTTGGAAAAAAACACAACAATCATTTCTAACCTACACGTGGCACTCCCTTTGTCTTCTACTGAGTTGGGCAGTATTTTCCTTCTCGTGTGAGAGGCCTGAATCCTGGCCCTCTGAGTGATTTTCTATCTAGGCAGTCCATGGTTTGAATAGCCAGTGACGTTTTCATTGCCACAGTTTCCCACTCTTAGACAAAAAAAAAATGAGCAGTTTGTGATGTTCTAGTCAAGTGATTTTTACCTGGAGGAAGCTTGTTTTAAGTGTGAAAATTGGAATGGGTCTTTTAGGGAAGGAAACACCAGCTTGGGTAAATATTAAGATTTATATCCTTCAACAGATCCCAGCAGGTGGCGAAGAACAGTGGCTTAAAGGCATGCCAGGCGGGAGGCTGCAGGATGCAGTGACTCAGCATACTAAAATCTGAATGGAGAACTCATCATTTCTATTACTGCTTCCCTAACATTACTGTATTTACTTTTGTCCAGTATTGCCAGCCGACATGTGGCAGTGACATAAGTAGCTGGTAGAAGATGTTTAGACACACGTTCAGTTTTATTGGAGAAGAAATACTCCCATGGTGTCACTAAGTGTTCTTTTTCCTTTACTGTTGACCTATCATCTGAACTTCTCTTATGTGAAAATGGATTACCTTTCTCTTCCTTTCTACTTTCTGCTCTTCTGCATTGGGAGACAAAAGCCCTGAAGTCTCTCTCCTGGCTGAGGATGTGATGTCACTGGCATCTAGTTCTCTGTGCTGTGGGTTGTGGTAGTTGTACCTGTGTGCTACTGCACAGTGGCACACAGGCTGTGTGCAGGAAACACGTCTGGAAACATTGTTTTTTTTATGTAATGTGTTTTGGATAGCTTTTCTTCATGAATCTTCATGTGTAATTTTATTCTTTTATGAGTAAAAGCATTGAGGTGCTGTGCACCTTTCACAGCTTTTTTGAAGTATGATTGATTTGGAGTAGGCTGCACAGATTTGTTGTATATGTTCTGATAGGCTTGGTATCTTTGATACACTTAGGAAGCCATCAGCATAATTAATACTGAGCCTGTCCAATCGCTTTGCTAAGTTTTTCTTCTTCCCTCCTCTGCGTTCCCTTCTCATCATTGGTAGCTATTTATCTGCTTTCTGTCTTTCTGTATTGATTTGCATTTTTATGCTCTTTATAAATGGAATTGTTCAGTGTGTGCTTCAAAAACTGTTATTTTGACTTAGAATGGTTGTGTGGCATGTCGAAATCTATCGAGCTAGTGATATGTGTGGCATGTTGAAATCTCATTGGACTATTGATGTGTATTCGGGTGGCCTGTAGCTCTTGGCTGTTGTGCACAAAGCTCCTTCAGTGTCTGTGCAGAAATCTTAGCGACAAAGATTTTCATTTCCTTTGGATGAATCTAGTGGGTAAACACCTGGACCACATGGGAGGTGGATGCTTAACTCTCTGGAAACTGATCAGCTTCTCCAAATGTGACGCACTTCTTTGCATTCCCCGCCAATGGTGTGCAGGGTCCTGCTCCCTGAAGGTGGTCAGCTTTTTTGCTTTAGTCACTCTAATACGTGCGTGTTGCCACCTCATTGTCCTGTTAGTGTGAACTTCTCAGTGTCCAAATTTTCCTTGGTGTGTGAACTTAACCACCACCCATGTATGTTCTTAGGTGAAGTGTCTGTCCGTTTAAAAAGAGATTGCCCTTATTACAGTTATTCCCACATCTTAGAAGTAAATGCTCTTTCTCATTTGTTCTTTGTAGGTGTTCCAGAATAAATCTCCCTGCACCTTCACGCATGCACACACACTGACTAGAGGTTGGCTTTGGGTGTCACTACTTTATTTTTTGAGACAGGCTGTTTTGAACCTGGAGTCGGCCAGCCCCAGAATGGTGCTCAGGCCTCTGCTGGAAGCTGGACGATAGCACACTCAGCTTTTGATATGGCTGTCCTTGTCACAAACACTTCGCCCACTGAACCATCTCCTCTGCCCCTTCCTTTTTATTGCAGTCAGAGACTGTACTGCATATGATCTGAGCTTTTTTTAAGAACTTTCTTTTTTTAAAAAAATAATTTTTTTTTTTTTATAAATTACAGTTTATTTACTTTGTATCCCAGCTGTAGCTACCTCCTTCATCCCCTCCCAATCCCACCTTTCCTCCCTCATTTCCTCCTATGCCCCTCCCCAAGTTCCCTGATAGGGGATGTCCTTCTCCCCTTCCACCTGACCCTAGTCTATCAGGTCTTATCAGGACTGGCTGCATTGTCTTCCTCTGTGACCTGGTAAGTCTGCTCTCCCCTCAGGGGGAGGTGATTAAAGAGCCAGCCACTGAGTTCATGTCAGACACAGTCTCTGTTCCTATTACTAGGGAACCCACTTGGAGACTGAGCTGCCATGGGCTAACGTCTGTCTCCATGCATGGTCCTTAGTTGGAGTATCAGTTTCAGAAAAGACCCCTATGCCCAGATTATTTGGTTCTGTTGTTCTCCTTGAGGAGCTCCTGTCCCTTCCAGGTCTTTCTATCTCCCCCTTGTTTCATATGATTTCCTACACTCTGCCCAAAGGTTGGTTATAAGTCTCTGCATCTGCTTTGATACCCTGCTGGTTAGAGTCTTTCAGAGGCCCTCTGTGGTAGGCTCCTGTCCTGTTCCCTGTTTTTTCCCTCTTCCGATGTCCGTCCCATTTGCCTTTCTGAATGAGGATTGATCATCTTAGCTTCTTTAGGTGTACAGATTTTAGTATGTTTATTCTATATTATATGTCTAATATCCACCTATAAGTTAGTATATATATACCATGTGTGTCTTTCTACTTCTGGGATACCTCACTCAGGATGATCTTTTCTAGTTCCATCCATTTGCCTGCAAATTTCATGATTTCCTTGGTTTTAATTGCTGATAAATGTCCTTGTTGTGTACTTGAAAATACTTTTGGATATATGCCTAGGAGTGATATAGCTGGATCTTGAGGAAGCGCTATTTCTAATTGTCTGAGAAAGCGCCAGATTGATTTCCAAAGTGGTTGTACAAGTTTACTTTCCCACCAGCAATGGAGGAGGGTTCCCCTTTTTCCACATCTTCTCCAGCATGTGTTGTCACTTGAGTTTTTGATCTTAGCCATGTGATGGGTGTAAGGTGAAGTCTCTGTTTCGTTTTGATTTGCATTTTCCTGATCACTAAGGATGTTGAGCATTTCTTGCAGTGTTTCTCTCTATTCGATATTTCTCTATTGAGAATTCTCTGTTTAGCTCTGTATCCCTTTTTTTTTTTTTAAATTGGGTTACTTGATTTGTTGCTGTTTAACTTCTTGAGTTCTTTATATATTCTGGATATTAGCCCTCTGTCAGATACAGGGTTGGAAAGATCCTTTTCCAGTCTGTAGGCTGTTGTTTTGTTCTGACAACAGTGTCCTTTGCTTTACAGAAGCTTTTCAGTTTCATGAGGTCCCATTTATTGATTGTTGCTCTTAGAGCCTATGCTGTTGGTGTTCTGTTCAGGAAGTTGTCTCTTGTGCCAGTGAGTTCAAGGCTCTTCCCCACTTTTTCTTCTAACAGATTTAGTGTGTCTGGTTTTATGTTGCGGTCTTTGATCCACTTGGACTTTAGTTTTGTGCAGTGTGATAAATATGGATCTATTTGCATTTTTCTACATGCAGACATCCAGTTAGACCAGCACCATTTGTTTAAGATGTTTTTTTTTTATTGCATGGTTTTGGCTTCTTTGTCAAATACCAAGTATACATAGGTGTGTAGGTTTATTTCTGGGTCTTGGGTCTTCTGTTCGATTCCATTGATCCACCGATCTATTTCTATGCCAGTACCATGCAGTTTTTATTACTATTGCTCTGTAGTACAGCTTGAGATCAGGGATGGAGATACCTCCAGATGATCTGTTGTTGTACAGGATTGTTTTTGCAGTTTCTTATGTTGTAGTGACCCAACCATGAAATGACTTCATTGCTACTTTATAACTGTAATTTTGCTACTGTTTTGAGTTGTAATGTAAGTGTATGATACGCAGCCTCAAGGGGATTGTGGTGCACAGGTTGAGAACCACTGTATGCATTTAGGCAAGCTATTGCAATAGAAATATCAAGAGGTGAGGGTTTATTTTTTAATATTTTTTATGTATTCTTCTGGTAACTATTTTAAAGATGCCTTTCAAAACTCCCTTCTTATATTTGGTTATAAAAATTTTAAGTTAAATGCATTAGTATGCGCAACTCCTATGTAAAGCTAGCTGTTCATAAAGGTATTTTCCAAGATTAGAGATGAAACATTGTATGCTTAGACCTGATAAGAATTTGTGGTTGTTTGAGTTGACAGTGTCTAGGAGCAATACCAGTTAGTAGTAACGTGGTTTACGTGTCTTTTGATATTTAAAGGTATCTAGTAGGGCGAACTGCCATGTCCGCTCAGAAGTGTATAAGCAGTTTAATACAGTGTTGTGAAGAAACTCAGAGATGACCTGTCTGGGTTTGTTGGGTAATTGAGCTGTGTTTTTTCCCCCCAGGAGTCTTCCAGAACCTCTCATGACCTATGAGTTACATAGAGACTTTATTGTTCCAGCTAGTAAGTATAATGTGGATATATACGAAGACTGTGAGATTTGTGGTTGGTGGTGTGCGCACACTAAAGTTTCCACATGAAACATTAACTTCATGGTGCAGCGTCTGTGTTAAGCGGAGAAGTCACTGCAGAAACTCCCTCCTCCTCGCAGAAAGCGAACAGAAGATGGGCATGACTGGGTACCTGTCGTTGATTTGTCACTGGTACATACTAGACACGTCAGGCCACAGCAGAGCTCGACGCCAGGAGCCAGCTCTGTGTGGATCACGTCTCATTTCACTACAGAGACCTAGAACTAGCTGAGCAGACTGCTGCAGAACAGGCCAGTATTCAGCTTGGAGGAGGTTGGAAAGATGGCAGATTTGGAGATGTGATAGTCTGGAGATGGTGTCACTTTCAAACACATGTTTATGGACATTACAGACAGAAGGAGTAGTATAAGGTAATGCCAGAAGCCCAAGCTACTTTATTGTGAATTACACAGATACAGTATAATGAATGAAAAGGGCCAGTAGCAAATTCTGGAGGTTTGATACTTTCTGCCTGGTACCCACTGTAATATTCGTTTGTGCGAATATTACACTGTGCGTCTGTAGTGTGGCGAGAGTGTGTGCTGGGACAGACTGGGGATGCCTCTCATGTAGCTCTGTGTTTATCTGTGGTCTGTGATCGTCACCATTCTGAGGACACTCAGGTTAGGGACTTCAGAGGTAAGGAATGTGATATTGAGGCGCACTAAGCAGCTGCTAGGTTACAGAGACCCTACGTAAAATTAACACTCACCTCTACTGTCTACATTCCACAATACTGGTTTTTATAGGTGCACTGACAGTGGCTGAAATTGTGCACACACACCCCTGCACCTGGTTATATTTTAAAGTTTAATCTGAGGAAAAATTTACAGCAATCCGATTGGATCCTGTGCCACTGCTGCTTGAATGTGGCTTTAAATGTTACCTTCTTGTGAGGTCTGGGCTCCAGAGATTCCTAATCTGTTGCAGAAAGAATCTCTGTGTTGGCTGCAGTACACAACACATAGAAAGCTTTTGGGAAAGGCCAGAATACAGTTGTAATTCAGAATTATTCTGAAAAACAGAACTTGTATGATCAAGGAAGTGGGGGAAGGTATTCTTGGCAAAAACACAAGCAAATGCTTAGTTATTTTGATTTCCTCCCTGTGGCATTTTTGGCAAATAAGGGAAAGAAATTAAATTTAGTTGGAGGACAATTTCAGGTTGTTCGTTTTAGAGCCTGGAAAAAGCCAAAGAGTGCCAGCTTGCAGCTAACATTCTTTGCATTCTGGAGAAAGAAAGATTATGGAACGAGGTTTTAAATCACCACAAGTTAGTGTCATGAGAATTATTACCACATGTGATTAACATCGAGTGTTCAGAATCCTAACGTCAAATGTCTTTTACCATATGAGGAAGTTCTACCCATTGGGAGGTAGTAAAGCCTGGAGTGGTGGGTTCGTTGGTCTGTTTAGTTGTGTATTGCAAAGAACTGAATAGATGGAATAAGGTCTGACACGCAGTGGGGCCAGGACTCAGTGTTTTGTTTCCTGGCCTTGTGGCCTTGCTCTAATAGTTTTCATACTGATTTGAATAACAAGACTACTGTAAAGGAACACTGTAGCTCCTGTAGCTTTTGGCATGAACTTGTACCTAAGTGCAATTGCAGCTGGAAGGGACCCACAGCAATCTGATTTAATGAGGAAAACTACATGTGTTAAATGGCTTTGTTTATGTGGGGGTCCAATGTGTTAGGGCAAAGTTTGATTTCTCATTTCCCTTTCTTACAAGTATCTTTCTTTGTACTTGGTGCCTCTTGGGAAAGGGCATGGGAGTAGATCCTCAGGTCTTTTGTGTATTGTAAGTAGTGAATTCAGTTACAGAATTCAGATGGCCAAAATGAGCAAAATGAGTCTCCTTTTAAATAGTGGGGAACTGGGATTGTGGTTAGGCTCCCATTTTCCACAGGAAGCAGCATAGCTTACCTTGCTTGCTCCATGTCTGTGAGCTCAGCTGATGGCTAACATGATCCCACATGGCCAGCCTTTGTCACTGCTCCTCACACTGGCACAGGAACTAATTCTTTTCCATTGTGTGGTGGTTTCCATCTGTTTTGTGATGTTTTCAATGTGTCTTCTCTCCTTCACTGAGTGGTCTGAAGGCTTTTCCTGGCCTCCTTCATTTTCTTTCTTCTGTTTATTTGCTATCATTTTTTGTCAAGGACGTGAGTTTCTCAAGTTTATAACACAAAGATAAGAATTTGGTTTTGTGCTCACTACAAAATGTGTATCTTTGTTTCTTACTGTAAAAGGGAAACTAAATTTCGAGACCATAGGAGAAGCATCTTTCAGTTTCAGAAGGTTGAGAACCTTGAACTTCGTTAACTAGGCTTACTAAGAGACCTGAAAGCACCTGTCCATGAGAAACTACAGGCCACAGACGTCTTGATGGTCTGTGCAAAGCTGTTAGCAGCGGTCTGGAAGCCTTCCTCTGTGGAGCCTTTGAGAGTGATACTGTCCACACTCTGGACTCCGAGTCTTCGACTTGTCAGTGGTGAGCCTGAACCCATCCTCCTGCGTTGGACTCACATTGGACTTAGCCTAAGATAGACAGCTTAATCCTGGCTGCCTGGCGCTGGGTACTTGGAGCCATCTCCCAGCTGTTGCTCCAACTAGAACACTGGGATTTCTGTAGTCAAGTTACCTGTGCAACACTGAGTAACCACGGCCGTTTCTGATGAGAAGCGACTAACTTAGGATCCAGCGCGCATTTGCATATCCAGAGGGTTCTGTTTTTTTCTCTCGGGGTGTTGGGGGGAGGGTAGGAAATGTGGGCATTGCAGGGCTTGCCTATGCAATGGCTCCTGTTTCCCTTAGCTGGCTATATTCATTTTACAGAAGGTGAGGACCACAGGAGGACTGCAGCGCTGGTTACATGTGACTAGGCTGGTGTGTCCCCTAGGAACGGCTTGGAAGGTTACTGCTTGTAGCTTCCTCACATTACAATATGGTTGATACATGTCATTTACGTATTAGAATAACAACGCTGTTGGTCTGTGTGTCTCTGCTAAACTAACAGGCTTGCTCATGCCCCAGCCTCTGCTGTTATTATATCATAAGCTAACAGACACTGAAGTATGGTGGATGCTGATGTATACTTTAAGTCTCTGGCACATTACAGGACTTTAGTGTTTGATTAATTAAGTGCTCTAGATAAAAATGATATATTTTTTCTTTGTCAGCTAATGTCAGTGAAAATATCACAAGATACATATAGCATAAGTAATGGAAAATAAGGTAATTTAGCAAAAAATTTGGAGGTGGGGAGGACTGTTTTACCTCATGGAAGTGACAATTAATAGGAAGATTTGATGTCAAAACAATATAAGTTGAAGAGCTAAAAAAACAGAAAAAATTGTGTGTGTATAAGAGAGATAGAGAGAGATGGGAAAAGAGGAAGGAAGGGAGGGAGAGAGAGAGAGAGGGAGTTTGTTGGTTTACAGAATTGTAGTAGGCTTTTGGAGGAGGGGCTGAGGCATGAAGTGGGAAGAGCTACTCTCTTTTAAGTAGCTTTCAGATGTTGTTCATGGTTAGAAATGAATTCCATCACCAGAGCGTAGGAAACTTCTGTAGTTTGTACTTCTGAGTAAGTGCTGAATCCTGAAATAACAAAGTGGAGTTTTATTGTAGGAAGCTGCTGCTACTGTGAGGGCACTCGGAGCCAGCAGTCCTCCATCACAATGCCTTTAGGGTTCTAAATTTTTGATAATAAAATTGCTCTCTTTGACAACTAGTCTTCATTTCTGTGGAGCCTATGACTACTACTTCAGAGTTTCTGCTCTTATTTTGTTATTTAAAAATCAAAGCAATGACTTAGAATTATGATCTTCTTACTAATAATCTTCTCCATTGTTAAGCAGTTATCTTAACTGACATCTGTGGACTTTAATATAAAGCCTCTGTGTTAAACATTTCTTTTGCTTCTGGTATTTTGATATTTGATGTTTGAGGCCTCCTGCATACTGCAGAGCTAACTAGTTATAAGTTCTGGTCCTTTTTTCATATACTGAGAATCAAGTATGTGTTCTCACTTGCTGGCGTTTTCATTGTTGGCCAATGTTGTAGTCACCCAGGGACAGTTCACTTGCCTTAGAATCCTCACAAGTCAGAGGACCAGTGCTGGCTCTTCTTGCCCTGCCTCACTGGATCCTTTTAGGAGGATCCATTGTAGGGATCCCCTATCCCTGCACTTCCTTCCCCCTTTGCCCTGACTCACCCTAGCACTTCCTCGGAGGGTCCTACATGGCTTGTGTGCCTTCTGTTGGTAAGGCACAGTAAACACACAGTTTCTTCTTTCGGTGTGCTCTTACTCTCATTGTGATCATATGTCACCAAAATAAGCCATGAATTGCCCCCTTCTGAGGTGCCTAAATGAGGTAACTTGAGCATATATTTTGGGAGAGATTCATTTGGGCCTGTAGCTAAGAGAAGTTTGCTGCTGAGACTGGACTTGTGTTTCTTGCTGGTTGCTAAAGACTGGACAGGGTCAAGTGAGCTGTGAATTCACTGCAAGGGGGGTTGGTTGGGGGAGTGGCTGTTGGAGCTGTGTGTGCTGCTAACGCCAGCCTGGGAGAGGCAAGCAAGGGGAAAGGCGTGGTTTAGGCACACGTGAAGCACACGTGGGGATGTCCTGAAAGGTGGAGAGCACACTCTGACCTTGTAATGGTGAGACGGATACTTTAGTTTTCTTTCGAAGTTACCAGACCGGTTAACCTCAATCTTTTCTGGTCCTAAACAGACAAACTGTTAAAATTCTCAGTTAGGGGTAATATGTTTGATTCTGAGTACTCCATTAACTATTTTTTTTTTCTTTTCCTTTTTAAAAAAGAAAGTGGTAGCCCGGAATCCCGTGTCAATGCCATCCATTTCTTGGTACACAAACTGCCAGAGAAGAATAAGGAGATGCTGGATATCTTGGTGAAACACCTGACGAAGTGAGTGTTCTTTCCCTCCCACCTTACCCAGCGTCGCGGGTGCCCTGCGCTGTTCTTGGAGCTGGGCTGTGTTTGTCCGGTGCCAGGGCTGCACTGAAGACCAGGCTGGACTTTTGATTCCTGGTGTGCTTTGGACAGGAGTGGTGAAATAGAATGCCTCTTGAAGCTGTGTCATTTTTTGCTTACTACCACGGCCAGCAAAGCAGTGAAGGGGAGGGTATGTTGCTTCATACACGGGCTGTGGAAAAGGATTATAAATCTGTTAGCAGATTGAGCTTGGTTCCATGCACACCTCATGCTGAGCTTGAAGATCCCCTTTAAGTTTGTTCAGTCCAGTAATGGGTCCATTCATGTTTCCCATCTGTGAAAAACAAAATGTAGAGCTGGGCACGGTGGAGCAAATCTAATTGCTATGAAGTGAATTGGAATCTAGACATCGGTGGTAGCAAGGGAATGGTGGTCTGAGGAAAGAGGAATGTCCTAGGCCGCTTTTGTCTGTGTGCAACTAAAACATGATAGGTGTCTGTTTTATGGAGGAAGACATGCTTGCTGAAATGACAAGCAGTATGACTTATTTTCGTGAAATGAAATATGATTACTTTAGGAAATTCTATTTTAATTTCCATTTGTTGACTCAAGACAGCTGCACAATTCTTTATATATCTACACAAATCCACTTGTCTGTTTAATATTGAGTAAATATATACGTGATCAATGGGCTGCTGAAAGAATGGTTGCTTAGAAGTGAGCTAGCTAGCGTGAGGGCTGTCCTCGTGGGAACACTTTCACAGAATTTTCCTTGACCTTCGAAAGGTCTGTACTGCTGTCAGCTTTCCATCCACGTCACACAGTCTGAGAAAGCACGGAAAGCGCTGGCTCACTGTCTTGGGGATTCCAGTCTTAGGTCAGCTGCTCTATTGTCCTGGGCATGAAGTGAATCAAAGTAACATGGTGGAAGGAGCCTGGAAGGGGCTGAGGAGACTGGTTACTTTAACTGAGGAGAAAGAGAGGAATGGAGGGGAGGGGAGGGGAAGATGGGGAGGGAGGAGGAGACAAACCAAACCAGCCTGTGTGTGCTGGCTGTTCTTTTGTTCAGTGCTCACACACAGGCAGACACTGAGGACAGTTGGAGTCTTCTGCCTTTTTGTATGTTAAGGAAATAGAGAGGTTACAGAATGTTGAATGCCCTGTAATTGTCACTACTCACCTAAGTTTTTTCCTTCTTCATCAATGTAGCGTGTCAAATCACTCGAAGCAGAATCTGATGACTGTGGCAAATTTAGGAGTGGTCTTTGGACCAACTCTGATGAGACCGCAGGAAGAAACTGTTGCCGCCATCATGGATTTGAAGTTTCAGAATATCGTCGTAGAAATCTTAATTGAAAACCATGAGAAGGTACCACTGTCATTTCTTCTTCAGTAATATTTATGTGTTTGGCTTGTTAACATGTACACGGCTTTGTTATTAGTCTGTCTTTCTGTCTCGTTGTTGCTGTGAATTTATTCCTAGGAAGTTGACGTTCAGCTCAGTGTTCTGATGGAGTTCCCTGAATCTGATCCTGAATCGGCCTCCTCTTGCCTCATTGCTTTATTGAGGAAACATTGTATCCAGATGTAAAGGAAGACAGTGCAAATGCGATCATGGACTATTTAGTTAATTAATTAATATTAGTCAACTAGTTTACCATTTTAATTTGTGCCTTTAGTTTCCCCCAGTTTCATGTGTTAGTTGCTCCCCTTCTGCCACTGCCAAGTGCGGACTTTTTAGCTTAGGGAAAGTAAATGAATGGAAATAACATGGAGCCGGAGAGCTGCTGGTCACCTCTCTGCTGCAGTGACAAAACACCTTAGGTAGTCAGCTTATAAGGAAGAGGGGCTTAGGTTGGCCCATGGTTCAGAGGTTTCTAGGAAGCATGGTCACAGGGAAGCATGGCAGATCATGGTCATGCTGTGTGGGGAAGAGACTAGCTTCCTATTAGAGCCATGGACAGACAGACAGGTAGGGAAGAGAGACTTCCTTCTCTCTTCAGATTTCTGTCATAAGAAGCACATGAGAATTGTACTCTCATGAGCTGGGCAGGAGCTTTGCTCACCTACAAGAATGCATCTCTTTTGCCTCTGGTTAGTGTTGGAGAGCTTCAGTCTGGAGCATGGGAGAAGATTCGCTTCAGATTTTAGACGATTTTGTACCTAAGTTCAGACCTAAGTATGACTTCGTCTAGTGTGTCATCTGCTCCATAGCAGTGTGTGTTGGGGTGCAGCTGACTTTTGTGGGTCACTCTGCAGAATGTGTGTGTGTGGTGTGTATGAGGGAGTGGTTTTAGTGCCCAGCCCTGCTTTGCTCCCGCCCCCTCCTCAGAACTAAGTCCGTCTGTCTGTCCGTCCCCCCCCCCCCCACGTTAACAAGTTAAGAAAAGCAAAGACAGGTGCTTAGGATTGAGCAAGGCACAATTTACTCTTAACAAGACATACGCAGTTTTAACAAAAAAGCACTGTTTGGGGGCCAAAGCTAGACTTCTGCTAGTTAAAAGCCCCTCTTCTTGACCTAAGAGTTTCAGATTGCTAACTGCATTGCCACATCTGTGGGCCCTGGGCGAAGAGATCCTGGTTTTAAGCCATCTCTTAGGTGTTGTTCAGTGCTCTGTAACCCAGGCAAGATGTGACTTTTAAAAGTATCCAGAGTCTTTTAAGACCTCGAGGAGGTCCCCACTTCTTCTGTTCATGACCTCGCTAGCTCTCCCTGCGGCTGCTCCTCCACAGGGGACATGTGGGCTTTAAAGGCATGCGGTCACTCATCGGTGTGCTAAAAGGACTTTTTTGTTAAAATTAAGATTGTGTTAACTGCCAAGGCTGCGGCAGGGGCTGGGATGTGGAGGCGAGGCTGAGTTCCTGGTTGGGAAGAAGGTGGCAACCATGTTGAGGGCTAACCCTGTAACTCTTACCTTAGCTCCAGGTACTTTGTAGCTCATCTTGTTAAGGTGTTGTCTGTCTCTCCCTGTCGGGCTGTTGAGGGCAGTGATTTTATTTTTATCTACTTGCCTGCTGCCCGTTAGGTATACTGGGGATGGGTACTAAATGGATGAATGCACCCTGTGCGCCCGGTGGGAGCTGGAGTGCTGGGACAGAGACGACAGACGGAGATGGAGTAGTTGCTACTCGTTGGAGCAGTATTGATGAATGTGAATGTGGATTTGTTCTGACAGGTTAAGCTTGGTACCTGAGCTGCCAGCTTATTTCACTAACATGATAAAGGCAGTTTGTTTGGTACATCCAATCTTACTGTTTTGGTAGCCTCTGGTGGTGAATTTATGCCCTTATTTATGGCTCTGTCCCACTGTCACTGAGCCTCATTAGCATGCTCTGAGTCACCTGGAAAGATGGCTACTGTTCATTTTTTAGAAAAATGCATTGTTGGAACGTGACAGTAGGTCAACTGTCATTATAGTCAATCTTAATTAGGGGGCTCAGGTGCAGTTCATTAGTGAGAACTGCGCTCGGGGCCCTGCTCTTGGGGCAGGGGCATTCAAAGTGCCACTACCAGGAAAATGGGCATGTGATGTTTCTGCAGGAGCTCTGCACGGATGGCTCTCTGTGTTGGCAGCTTTGTGGGGATTTCTGAGCAGCCCTGGCGAGCCAGGCAGAAGAGGGCAGCCGTGTGCTCAGCTCTCTGCTCTCTCAGAGTTGCGGCGGTTTAGAGTGGAGCAGAGTTTGTGGTTATTCTAAATGAAAGTGCTAAGATTTCTTTTTTAAAAATATGTTTTTAATTGAAACAGAATTACCTCACTCTGCTCCCACTCTCTCCTTTCTCCACCCTCTCCCAGCTGCCCTGCCCTCAGACCCCTCCCATGTCCACCTTCCACAATGTCCTATGAACCACAGATCCAGGAGCTGTGATGGAGATTGTGGCTAGACTCCCCGTGCTCGCTTGTTCTCATCACTGTGTCCAGCCAAGCTTTGCCGTGATGGTCTGTTTGCTCTTTGATGAGGGGTGGTCATTACGCTTATCCAGGAAAGGTGGCCCAAGCACCCTGAGATTTCCTCAGAAGAGGGGCGAGCTCCATAAGCCAGGCTGGAGGCTGGAGGATAATGTGGCTGAGGAGGGGTGGCAGCTTTTGTTCATCTGCAGTTCCTCACTTCCTGACTTCTTTTGATTTTCCTTGTGTGTTGCAGACTTTCTTCTTTTCTGACCAGTTAACTGGGGTGCGTGTCATAGATAGGCCCTGCTTTAAGGAAGAATAATCCTGCGACGAGGGTATTTGTAAAGAATATATATGATGTCTGTGTTCATGTCAGCCACACACCTCCATTGGGCTGGAGAGAAGTGGGGATGAAGGTTCTTTGGTAGATAGATATTTAGGAACAAGAAGCAGGGGCAGGGGGAGAGGGAGGCTGGGAGGGGTTAAAAAGGCTTGAGAGGAAGGAAAATGTTACCACAGTGTGTGGGGGCCCAGCCTGAGGGGAGTGTATGGGAGAGAGAAGTTTGCACAATGCCCATGGCAGAGCGCACAGGGGTGGCGTGGAGGACTTGAAGGTGTTTTCTTTCTCTCCCTGCTTATTTTCCTTCCCCAGGACTGGGAAAAAATGGTAAGCATAGGAAAGTCACCAAAGCAAAGAGGAACCCGCCATGCTGTTAAAGTAGGGGAGCCCCCGCTGGGTTTTGGAGTGAGGAAAAGACCAAGTTTATCTGCCTTGGAGATCATCATTTCCCAGCCCCTTCACTGCTGCTGCTTATAATATCCATATGTACTTGCTAGGAAACTCACTCCATATGTCTTGGTTTCTTTTGCACACTAAACATTAAGATGTTGTTTTAAAAGGAGTGTTCCTGGGCCAAAAACATTATCAGGGTGGTGAGTGTGTTTTCTTTTCTCTGCAAGACAGAAAATTGTGTTTCCATTGTAAAACGGGTACTCTGAACTTCCCACGGATTTTCCCACTGTGCTTACACCGATGGCCTTACGACTTTTATGTACTTGTTATACCTTAATTCAGAGCATTGTTTCCTGAGTGCCTGGTGTTAGTTAGAGTTGTGTGATTTGAGGAAGATAAATATGAGAGGGAATCTGGCTCGGTGTGGGCAAGGGAAAGTGCCACTGGAGGGTATCAGGACAGCTCAGGGCTCCAGGTAAACTTGCTTCAGAGTCTGTGGAACAGCAAGTAGAGACAAACATAATCAATCAGGAAGGAGGGCTTAGGTGTACCAAGGGCATGGTCGAGAAGATGGGCTTGTCAGGGTGAAAAGCATCACTCAGCACAATCTGCTGTCTATTTTGTAGGGTCTCATAGGAAGGTGTGAACTTAGTCCTGGGAGAACTGAGGGAAATTTACAAGTAGGGAATGCAATAGTCCAGGATGTGAGATTGGCTTTTGGTTTATTAAAATATGGTATTTGCATCTAATGGGGTTGGAGCTTTTTGTGCTTACACACAGTTAAAAAACATGATAAAGATACAAAGCCTGAGCATTGTTGTGCATTCCTATAGGACAGAAGGCTGAGGCAGATGGGCATCAAGTTCTAGGCCAGCCTTCCCAGAGAGTTTGACAGCTGCTTTAGTGATAGAACACTTATTTACCTAGCACACATGAGGCCCTGGCTTCAGTTCTGTATTATACATGCCCCCCCCCCCACCCCTCGGCACACACATGCACCAAGAAGTAAACCAGCAAATACCCAAATTGTGATGTGTTCAGGAACACATGATCACACGCCTAACACCTGATTTCATCAGTGTATGTGACACTGTCTACACAGGTACAGACTCTGAATGTCTCCTGTGAGAGATGAGCTTGTTCATGGGGACACAGCCAGATGAGGGTGCTTGGGATTGCACTGAGAGTGTTTGATGCCGAATGCTTTGTTTTTCATTGCTAGAATAAGAGCACTGTCCTTGAGAAAATGTCAAACTTTTAGTATTAGTGACAAAAGAGAAGTCATAAGAGATCCGTGTTTGTGTCAAGGCCATGAAAGACTGTGGTCAAGCACGCCAGTTGCTGCCTGTGAAATGAGACATCGAGAAATGGCAGGTGGCATGGAGTCACGCAGAGTGAACTTCCTGTGGGGAGCAAGGGTCTTAGTCAGTGCTTGATGGATGGCCAACAGTGTGCATCAATGGAAGCAGTACCGGTTTACTTTGTTTCTCACGCGGCACCACAGGACTGCCGGAGGAGAAGCCAGGGCACTGGTGGGAGGGAAGGACCCAAAGGGTCTGCAGTGCCTGAGGGCTGTGCACCTAGTTGGTATTTCTCATGGTCTGAATGCCAGTCGGCTCCTGTGTGGGGGTGAGGCACTCTTTAAAGAAACAGTGGTGCAGCCGGGCGATGGTGGCTCACGCCTTCAATCCCAGCACTTGGGAGGCAGAGGCAGATGGATCTCTGAGTTCAAGGCCAGCCTGGTCT